AAATTCAGTAAACACACAGTAAACAAGCCTATAAACACAATAACATTGCCGGTACAGATATATGGGGAAAAGGCATGCAATTACATGAAACTGAGATTCTCTAAAACCTTAAACCTATAGCTCTTTTTAGCTAAAACACTTGTAGATTCTCCCCATACATGCACTCACCTTCCTCAAAACTGTTAGAGTTTGGCAGTTATTTTAAGAGTTTGACTTTCAACAGCTATGAGCTCTCCCCCTTTTCTAAGCCCCTGCAGTACTGCTGAGTGGACAAAAATTACAGCTGCCGGAGAAGCTGACAGGGAGCGGGCGGCCCCTCCTCCCGAGTGCCTCGACAGTCCGCGCTCCTGCCAAAACAGGCCTGCGAGCCAGCCCCAGACAAAGGCACACAGATCCCATTTTCTCACGGAAAAGAGACTGCATGTAGAAACCACCAGTGAGAAAAGTCGCACACTGGCACGTGTCGTTTCAAAAGCAAAAGCCAGAATGAACGTTTCAAGAAAAGTTGAAATTATATTTGATTATTCAGTAAGCTCAACAAGCGCTGCTTAACCGACGGCTCATTTTGAACTGCAAAGCGTCATGACGGGTAGGAGGGGGAGCTTCCATGAAGTCTAAAAAACAGTTTCAGTCATGAAGAACCTAGGTTCAGCAAGATCCAAGCTAAGAGCTCACGGCTCTTGCTCTAAATCATCTCCTGATAGTGCTATAGTACACATGCAATCAAAACAAAGTAAAACCAGCATTTTTTTTTTTTTTTTTTTTAAACTCAAACATGTTTGAATGTGTTTACTATTAAAAGAGTCTTCCCCCAGGGTGTCATTTAAAAAGTTGCAATGAGTTTAAAACCCTGGCACCTAAGCACTTCCAAGTTTGCAAGCTTTTCATAGCAAGTTTACTACTTTTGGCTTGTAACGCTATCGTGACTGGCACTCATCACCGAGCTGGAACAGGTCTGCTGCTGAGCTGCGAGATCAGTACGGAGGTGAACACAGACCAGCAGAGAGGAAGAGAAAGGCAGAACACGATTTTCTGTTTGAAACTAGTCAGTTAATCAGGAAGCTGGGCTAAAGCGCAGCTGACTATAGGAAGATTCATGACTGATTGAGCTTCTTATTAATTTAAACATAAAAAGGATGCTTACTACAACAGCATGAAAGATTGAAAGCTATCAATTATTTTAGGTGTGGATAGAAATCATTCCAGTCTATTAAGACTTAGTAGCAAAAGTAGCTGCTCTTAACAATAACTCCCATCAGTTTTAACAAGCTCCCATCAGACTGGGAATGCTGGAAGCAGAGACATAAAAGTGAGGTTTTCAAAATCAGTAAGGTTTTCAAAACGCTTACAGCTCTGATAATTACTGCTCATCAACATACAGCATTCTTACAAAGCCTCTGCTTATAATAGCCCTTTTTCTTTTACACGAGGCTGCCTCCACATATCTGGTAACAAGCAACAGAACCACCCAAATTCAACCAAAGTCTTCAAGTCTTTCAGCAGAAACACTAACCTAAGATAAGCAGAACATAGGAAAGATTACATAATGAAAAGGCTAAAAACATAATTAAATACCCTGATTTGTAAGTTTATTTTAAAAACTCTTTCAAGACATGACCCCCCACCCCTTTTCACTCCCTGGTATCAGCAGAAGATAGATTTTGCACTTGAGGATAAAATCTAGCTGCTCAGAGTCCAATATAGCAGGCATTACCCAGCTGCACCACCACGGGAACGTCCCTGGGAAGACCACGCACTGGTGCTGCACCAGCCTGTTGTGCCGTGGCGGCCCCAGGAGTCCCAGGGCCGTAGGCACCGTGCGCAGAAGTCCTGCTTTCTCCCCACTCAGTGCGGTAGCCTCTCCTCCGCCTGCCCAAACCCACCACGGGGCCAAGGCCCTTCTCCCTCGGTGCCCACCCTCGCCCTCCTCGCTCTAATGATGGTCTCCAGGAACGACAGGCCAGAAATCCTTTCGCTAGAGAACAAAACAACTCCACGGTATCAACACTGATAATTATAAAGGGTTCGAGGAAGACTAGTCAAGAACAATGTAAGAAAAAAAACAACCCACCACAAAGATCACACCAAGAAACAACCATACTCTCCTCATCCCATATGCGGTGAAGGGCTGGGGACACAAGAAAGAACCCTGACTACTGTATGTTAGTTTAGCTACAAGCTTACATTTATTTATTTATTTTTAATTAAATTTCTTCACAGTCTTTTGGCTGACCCCACCATCCTCCCACTTACTAAGTCCAGGCATTTTCTAAATTGCTATAGCCAGACAGTATCTAAGTGTTATTTGTTGTTTCTGTGCAACTTGCCATCCAGCCATCACTCAGCCCCTCCTCATGTCACCTTCCCGCCACCACAAAGTCCTCTCATCTGCTCTGAGAAATACCATCCTCCCCACGCGCAGCCATTCCCAGTACCACAACAAAGGCACCACTTCCACCCTCCCTCCATTTGGTCTCCATTCTCCACCAGATCAAATGAACACGATGCTTTCACTTCCCCACCACGCTACCTGCTTTCCCTAACAAGTTGCTCCCTCTCACAGCTGGCAGCCTTCACCTCCATGCTGCCTCCTCAGGCAAGCACCTTCCTCTCCATCCTGCCAAGAGAGGCTTAGACATTGCCGTGCTACACACTAACGTGCTCCAAAACCCACTCGTTACACCCGAGACAACGCCAACGAGAGCCAGGGAGCTGTGTGCTGCCCTCACGGCACAGAGCTGGCTGAACAGCTTCTTCCCTTGCACCTGCATCAGCTGTTGGGCACCGGGGCTGCCAGGGCTCAGCCGGCACTGCGCGCTGGGGTGCTGCAGCTGCATGGCACCTAGCAAGCAGGAGCCTCCCATATCGGTAGGGAGCTGAGACAGGAAGAAATCTGTATCCATCATTTTGACCCTCTTACTGCCACAGTTTTGGGGTGGGGTAGAGCTCCTCTATATTTGTGTAAAGCTGATCCCAACCTCCTCCTGTCCTCAGCCCAGAGGAAGGAGAACTGCTCCACTTAGATTAAAAAGAGTAAGTGATTTGATTGCCCAATTTCCTGAAGTATTGCAAGAGAAGGAGACTTAGTTCTGCGAACAAGCTCAGGAAGGAATACTAAGAGCAGAGCTATATTTAAAAGGTGAGGAAAAAAAGACGACTGGGGCTGCAGTTATTGACCAGGTGAAAGAGAGAGAACAGAGAATGAAATAATAAATGAGACTAGATTTATGAATGGGGAGTAACAAACGTGCTTTAATACAGCTGGTAAACTCATTCTACAAACCAACAAAAGAGTCTTCTTGAGAGAAGTAGCAGCATCAGATTGTAGAAACACTACAGCAGTTGAAAAATACGATCACTTAAATTCACATAAATACCGGCCTCTTCCCTCGCTCAGCTAACACTATTTCTATTTGAATACTTTTAAAGATTACTTGAAGATGATCAAATCCTAGAATTATTTCAACCTACCAAAGCCACAACAAGTCAAAATGAAATCTTGCATCTTTGTCTAATGCCTATCATTGCAACTGAATTCATTTTAATGACCACATGTCCTGGCAATATGTGGCACAGGATGGGAAAAGCAAGGAGACTTGCGTTTTATTTGGCTTTGGTACAGTATAGGCATTTTGCATAAAATTTATTAGCATTAATGGCCATTATGTAATTAAAGCACAGTGCCTTGCAATGAACATTCAGTTTTAACAACATTTAAGCACTGAGGTTTAGGGTGATTTAATTCCTGAGGGCTTTTTCCCCCACTATGTCCTATAAAATAGAGAAATAATGAACGCAAGATTTTCAAAGCTATCCAGAGAATTCAGCCTTGCACGTTCCTCCATTACTTGTAATGGTGAAGGTGTAGCTATGCACACAAGATGGATCTGAAAAATCTCAGTGTCTCCTACGGAACTTGAAGATTAACTCCATTGAACAGTCTTATTAAGCATATGCTTTGTAATTATAATATTCTGCAGACCACAAGCTCTTCAAAATGTCATCATGAGACCACTGAATAGTACAGATTTGAAAAAATGTCTTTTTAGGTTCAGCATTCCATACTTGCTTGATACTAGACTTAATTCACAAGTCCAGTTTATCAAAGCAACTTTAATGAGACACTCAAGCATTTGTTAGGGGGGTGCTGGCATTTTCAACCTTAAATGCCAAGAACTAGAAGGACTTAGGGACCCTGTCACCTAATGCTTTACACTTCAGAGTAAGGGGACAGTCAATTATGTAGTTCCCTGTGTCCTTTGAATGTCACAGCCTAAGGACGGACGAATTTGCAGAGTTATTGAAAAATCTGTAGGGTTCCTTTTTTCCCCTCCCCTCCCCAGATTTCTGCAGGATTGATTCATGGTACCTAGAGCTGTATTTCTTTCCAAGCAAGATTTTTGAGTATTTAGAGTATCTACGAGGGAGTTTGGGGGCGGGGGGGAGGATGTCTGTGTGCGCATACATGCATGTTTTTAAGACAGAAAATAAATTGAAAGCTGCACTATGGTAAGAGACCTGTGTGTACAGGTTTAATACTTAATAAAATCCTCTGAAACATCAATACCATTATCTACAGCACTGATAAGTAATAATACTTAAGGACAAGTAAGCCTACAGCTTACTTTTTTAGTGAATTCTTTGTTTTGTGTATCCGAATAATCTCACCAGAAAAGCAAACCAGAAGAGCAAGAAACAAAATACCACAGCCCCTACTTATTTATGATTTTCAAATTATTGAAAATAAGGGTTTTTTCCCCCTACAATGTTGTCTCTCAGTTTAATATTCCAAGTAATCTAACTTCATTCAGAGTAAACTTGAAGCACAGTATACTTTACCTGAAAATCCAAACAAAAGAATTAGTACAAAAACACTGACAGACCTTCATAGCAACACCAGCGCTTGTCCCTTGAGTAATCCAAGGGAAGACAAATTATTAGCTGATCTATTGAATATATCCTGACCTATCACACAAAAAAATCTTGAATTTGTCTTCCAGAGGAATCACGACAAAGCTGCAGACCAGCAAAAGAAGCTAACTGAGGGCAACTCGACCAACATCTTCTGTGTCAGTTCCCCAGCAGTCAATGAAGCATGTTATTGGGTCTCTAAGGTATGTCCTAGAGATTAGTTGGTAATGCCATACAATTGTAAATAATTAAAACAAGCTGTTTTCTTTAATTACATTAAAATACTTGCAGTCATGAGAGCTATTACCCTCTGCAGTGGAACACATATTCCCTAACTGATGTTGTTTATTAGTGGTTTTATTAACAATGTGTCACCTCAGCCAAATGAATAGGCAGTACAGCAGCGAGGGAAGAGATGGTTAAAAAACCTCAACCTGTCTCATCTAGGCAAATAAAGCAAGCAAAGCCACGTCACAGAACGTACAAGAGTATCTGAATGATAGTTTTCATTTTTGGTTTGAAATAAACAAAAATGTTTATGTGTAAACCTTTTTGAGAGGAATTAACAAAACAGTGTAGAGACTGAAATAACAGACTAGTTTTTAAAAGGCTTTTGTTGTTGTCGTCGTCGTCAGAACAGGACCGCAATTAAATGACTCCTTCTAATAGGGCTGCAGGTAAATCTCAATTACAAAAATCATTATTCTAGGCACTGTGTGCCATTTTATATTCCCAGCAGGATGTTTTTCATCAAGAATTTCTAAGGCTGTTTAGTATTTCTGTATATGCAAAGCATATTTAAGGGCCCCCCAAAAGATCCACTAATTAAAAAAGCCTTGTCAAGTGGTCAGACAGACTGGAACTAGCAGATTATAGGTAAGAGGCATGAAATGAAGGCTTGGAAACTATAATTTCTCTTTCTGTGGTAGCAGCGGAAGCAGCTGTTACAGACCAGGCAAATTAAAAATGTGGCTGCCTAAGCCAGCAGTCTGGGAACAGGACATTATGAAACGTAACAGCAAGTCATCTGCACCCCACTTTTAAAAAGCCAGAAGTGCTGATCTTTTTTTTTTCCCCCCCTCTTCCTGTTATTCCTATCTGTCACAAATACCCTCCAGCTGGTACCCTTCCAGCCCTTGCTCACCAATTCTAATTTCCTACCCCCATCTTGGGGGGTTAGTAGTAATTCCTGGATCTTTGGACAAGCGTTCCAGAGTGGGAGTTGCCAGCAAACAAAAAGGACACTTATAAAAGAAGAGCAGGTGAAATAAGAGTTTCAATCTGACTTTTTTTTTGGCATATGGAATTTGTTCAACAAACATGTAAAAAACAAACTTCCCATATTGAACAATATTTACCAGAGTTTGAGGGCAGAGTCATCTACCCAATATATTCAGCACGTAAAGAATTTTTAAGTTTTCAGATAAATGGGGTAGTGATTCGTCTTTTTTCAGATGCATTGGTTAAGTGATTCTTTTATTTGACTATTTTTGGACAAAAAACAGGACCTTTTTCTGCTTGTTGATCCAGCTTCCAGTCCAGGGTGGGTAGGTGGTGAAACTCATTGTGCCATGAACTAATGGGACTGTGTATTACTTTCCATCTCTGATAGTGAGAGAGTTTCTATGAACTAGTGCAACAAAACATATGGAAAAAAAAAAAGAATCACTAAAAAATTACTTTAGCCTTAACCCTTTCCTCCATACCAGTTATAGACTTTTCACAATTAGAAGAAACCTTTGTCCCCTTGTTTAGATAGCTTTTAGGTCAACTGGTGTTACCAACCTAAAATTTCTCTCTGTTTATACTATTATAAACCTGTAGACTATGTTTGATCTCAGATTATGCATCATGAAGGCATATCACCCGATCCATTTCCTTTGTGTATATTTGTAGTCAAAGCAAAACCATCAACTCAGATTTGCTGCTGATGCATTTTAAGTGCTGCCATTTCAATACTTCTCTAACAGTGTTGTTAATAACGTTGCTATGTTGAAACATTGCATCTGATTTGAGGAGCTCTCAATCTCTGCAAACAATACTTTGCTAAAGAAATTTCACAAATCGTTAGGAGATCCATATAATTACTGTTTAACAGATACAAAACTGATCTAGAGAAATTAACTGCCTCATTTCATTCATATAAGGAATTAGTAGACGTTAGCGTTTCAGGTGGGCATACAGGCCTCTGATGCTTTTGCGTGAAACTAATCAATTGCCATTTTGCATTTTCATACAAGTCTAAGTTAAGAATATGAGAACAGCAAAAGAATTCTGAAGGTTAAACCCCATATTCAGTGTAGTCCTTTTTTAACAGCAGGAGTGGGTATCTAAGGCAGTTCTTTACATCTCCTCCCACACAGTTGTTCTGCTTCATAAGCAGAGGCCAGCTGCTGGTTCTTTCAAGTCTAGCGGTTAGTTGACATTTAGCAGTAGTTTATGCTTTCCATTCTACCTTAACAAGGGAAAGGGCTAGAAATTTAAAGAGTGGAGATTATATCTTTACATTTCTACTTCCCCCAAATTGGAGGGGCCTGCAGCCAAGGTTTTGTGGTGGGGCATAAGCATGGGACAAGAGGACAATTCTGTGCACCAGAACAGAAAATATGACCCAGGAGTCCTGGCTTTACTGTCACTGGACAACACTTCACTGCAACTCTTGAGCAGCACCACTGATTTTGTTGTTTTCCCTTTCAATCTCAGTCTCTAAAGAATGCAGTTTAGAGCGATGATTACATTTATGACTCGCAAATTTGGCAGTGTTTCTTTAGCAAATACCATGAGCGTGCAGACACACAGTCCTGCATATATACCCATGATACAGTAATTTAATGGTAGAGACAGGAGAAATGAGGAGTAGAGCTCGCAGAGGACATGCCACAAAACGCTTCACAGAGCAAGGAGAGCAAACCAAACTGAAATCTATTAAAAAAAAGTCACACACCAAAACAAAACAAAAACCACGCAAGGAGGCATCCCTTCCCCTATACTCACTATGTTACAGTCCTAATGTCCAACTCTGTTCCCAGATAAGCATACTGATACAGGTCCGTTTCAAGTTTCTTTTGTCTTTCTGAAGTTTTTAATCTTGAAAAGAAACTCAGTTATGAATTTTAAATATATGAAAAGTGCAGATACAATACAGAAGCGTCATGGCTGTTTCAACAGTTATGTTGAACTCCTAACAAACAAAAACAATAACAAAAAAGTTAGAGATTTATTTCCTATAAAACAACTTCATACATGAAGAAATCAGGAAAATGAGGGAGACAAAAGAGATCTGAGCAACAAAATTCCCTCCCAAAAATCAGGGAGTGAGAAGTAGTTGTGGAGTGTAGTTAACAGGCCACTGAAACTTCAGTGAGAAACTGGGCACAAAAGTCAGTCAGTTGGCAACACTGTGGGCATCTAATGGACTTTCACAGAGTAGAAATCCAGAGTATGTAGCCTTTTATCTGATTATGTTTACTACCAAAGAGCCCTAAAAGAGGTAACGCTAACAGGCTTGCTGCAGACATTGCAAGGAACTTGGAATGTGCAATTACTCGAAGGCTCTGAACTTTATCTGATGCACTCAGCCACAGAAGAAAACCATCCCAGGCAACTCAGTAGAAAGAGTACCAGAAAATACCATGCTGGATTTTTTTCCTAGGTCTAGGTTAAGACATTTGAAGATATCCATGATTGAATATGATCCTTCCTAAATCAAAGCTTCTGTGATTGCAGATCATAGACTAGGCAATTATAAAAATCATACCAGCTCACAACATCTGCACGAACTCAGCAGTGCAGCTGTTCACTGTGCATGTGTTAGGAAGGCACCACTAAGACCTGTTTTTACAGGTCAAAGCAAAACCAAGAACCTCCCAAAAAGATTACTTTCACATAGGTAACTGCAACAGAACTTGAAAACAAACTTTTCTGCAGCAAGCTGAAAGCATTAAGAGAAAAGCAGTCTGCAGTAATCCACACATAACAGGTCTTTAACATTACTTCCTTTTATTGTGTATTGCACTTATGGGGCACTAGATTTTTCTAAACAGTATCCAAAGCACACTTTCAAGTCCAGCCAACAAACATCTGAATGTCACAGCAGCCTTTCAAGAGAAAGTTACAATGCTGCGAATGTTTAAAGAAAGACTGAAATGTTTCAAAAAGATGAAATATACTCAATGCTACCTCCTCTTGTTCCCTTGAATTAAAAATGAGGGGCAGCTTCTTTGGAAAGGTGGTAGAATCTAATTAAGAAATGACCTGTTCTAAAGAAAAAAGGGGAAAAAAGCACCAATCTAAACAAAGTGGAAACCCATCTTGAGATGGAGGACAGAGTCTGTTTCTTTTTGCAATGTAATAATTCAGAAACCCACAAATACATTTTACTGATAAGTGTTGAGAAGAAAAATATATTAAAAGGGGACATCCTAACAGAGCATACTCCAACCATAAGCCTTCTTCCCACAATGACACAAGTTTTTTTATATAAATCAGACATACCTAAGCTCAAGCACATACGAAGTAAACACATACCCACAAAATTATCTGATGTCCTGGCATGCATGCTGCACCCTTTCGGAATAACCCTCACTGACTTAATTCCAAATTTCTACTTGAAAAGAGATGCTGTAATATTTAACAATAAAATTAAGGCTTGGTATATTTTTGAATGAATTAAGGGGAAGGATTTAGACGTGTCAGATGGAATATTTTTTCCTCCTCCATAAAGGGTCATCTTGGCCTTACAAACGGGAATTTTTCCCTTATACTGGGGTTTTTGGTTTTCAGAGCAGCTTTCACATTGACAGCATTAATTCTAGTGTTCACTAGTTGTAAAAAGAGCAAGTACACATAAACTTGCAGGACAGCAAGATGCTTCTATGCAAGACTCAATGGAATAAGTGCAAGAGTTTTCAGCTGCTCCAAACAGGGCTCTTCAGCCACAAATACAATGCCTTCCTCTCTGTACACATACAACTGCATCACTTCATTGGCAAGAGAAAAGTCCAGGTCCAAGCCTGTTCTTTACAGGACACCACGAGCAACAGATCTGTATATTTACTGTTAGGGCTGATTAGAAAGGAAGCCTTCTGTTTCACAGATTGAGAGAGATGTTTGAAAAGTTTTTGTTTTGCATCAGACTAAAAAGGAGTACTTCTAAATTATTTTACTTCTCTTTTGGGCAAAGGCGGTCATGGCAAAAGAAAGG